TGTGTGTGTGTGTGGGTTGCAGGTAAACGAGCAGCAGCTGAAGAAGCAGTTAGATGAGATCACATACATCATAAAGCTCAGAGACAACCTCACGCCTAAAGCAGGAACGGTAAGAGTTACAATTATTGTGCTGTTTACTAAGTCGTGCATCACTGCACTCCATTTGTTGGAAATTTTTTCTGAATTTTGTAACCCTAAATGACTGAATTTGCTGCAGCTTTTCTCAAAAATGTATATATGCAGAATTTTTCATGTTAATTTGCAGTGAAAACTCTCCAATAATCATTATGGATTTGTAAACAGTGAGAGTAGTTCTCTGTAAATTATGTCGTGCTTTATGACTGAAATCTGTCGTGGTCGTGTCCCTGAACAGGCTGGAAAGACAATAGACAAATGTAAGCTGTGAAGGAATAATTTGGAGAGATCACTTGAAAATATTGATCAATTTGTTTGGGATCAGAATTATGGATTTTGATTAGCCAATATTGTTTTTTTGTGGAAAAATTGCAGAAATAAGAGAAAAATGCAAGGTGCCACAAATACTACAGGAATGAGTTAAATTTGCATTCATTCTAATTGCGAAATCATGAAGGAACTAGATAGTTTTAGTGATTTAAACAAGTTTTTTTTGTTTTTAAGATAATATTTCAGTAATTTAACACATTTGCATGTTTCCAGTTTTCTGGAAAAAAAAATATATATATACATTTTTGAAATAAGTGTTTTATTTTGCTTTTTCATTTTATATTTTTAGGATTTTTAATTAATTATTAGCTTTCAGTGGAATCATTAACCCTCTGCAGTTTCCTCACCAAAAAATATCACATTAAAGGAGAACCTTGAACCATGCACTTACATCATCTCCTACAACACCTTAGCAACCACCCGAACACCCTAGCAACCACATAGCTTAATCCACAACACCCTAGCAACCACATAGCATCACCCACAACAGCATTGCAACCACATAGCTTAATCCACAACACCCTAGCAACCACATAGCATCACCCACAACAGCATAGCAACCACATAGCTTAATCCACAACACCCTAGCAACCACATAGCATCACCCACAACAGCATAGCAACCACATAGCTTAATCCACAACACCCTAGCAACCACATAGCATCACCCACAACAGCATAGCAACACATTGAAACACTCAGATCTCTATGCATATTATAGCAAAACTCTGGTTTATTTATTTAGCAGGTTTGTTATTTGTGGCTTGTGTGTGTGTGTGTTTTAGGGCAGTGGTGATTTTATCTGTACAGTTTACCTGGAGGAGAAGAAGGAAACAGCCGAACAGCATGTAAAGGTGCGTTTGACCTTTGAACCTGCTGTAAGGTCTTGCTGTTGTCAAAAATCTGAACAATATCAAGGACCCGCTTACATATGAAGTCAGTGGGGAATTTTTATTGTATTTTAAAAATGCTTTTAGTAGAGGAGATGTGTCCTGCATTACATTTGCATGATGAATACGACTGATAGTATCATTGCACAAGTACGTTAATCAGTGTTTTTTAGGGATGTAACGATATCATAATCTCACGATACGATAATATGAAGTCCACGATACAATATTTATTGTGATATTTAAAAAAAAAGACAAATGAAGAATTGGAAATAAATGAAAATTTTGTACATTTTAAAGACAAATTATTTTATCTAATGCACTTTGAGAGTCAAAATTAAGAGCTCCATCCCATGTTCTTAACTAAGAAAACTTTGAAACAGACTTGATGAAGAGATGAAGCATATTGTGCTTTCGGTTTGAGTTAGTTTCACAGATACTGTGCCAAAGCATAATGACCCAAAACACAACTCTAAAGCCCTTTCATGTTACAATAAGAAGTTTAAATAATTGTTTCATATCGTCATGTGACCGCGATAATATCGAGACAGTTTTGCTATCGCGATATCACGATACTGATAATATCGTTACATGTTCACGTGTATAAATGTTCACGTTTGACCTCCAGATTCCTGCCACGATGACGGCAGCAGAACTGACCTTTGAGATTCTGGACAGACGGAAAATCAGCGTTAAGGAGAAAGACTACTGGTGCTGCTTTGAGGTGTACGAGAAGGAAGAACTGGGTGAGTCACAGAACACCGTTTACCCGTCATACACACGTCACAGTAACGCAGTGGCTCACAGGTGTGTGTGTGTGTGTGTGTGTGTCAGAGCGGCCGCTGCACTATCTGGAGAAAGTGCTGCCCATCTTTCACTCTCTGGGCACCGACAGTCACCTGCTGGTCAAGAAGCACTTCTCCATGGAGGCCATGCTGGTCTATCTGGGTAAGAGAGACTGGGTTTGAGTTTGGGGAGAAATGAGTGTGGATTTATTTAGGACAAACTATTCATAAATAGAATGTTTTAATGCAAAATGTAAGTGGGTTAATCGATAAACACTGCTTCTCAACCATTTGACTCCAAGACTCACTGTTGTCTACAACAATATTCAATAAAGGCTAATATCTGCTGCAATGGCAATTTTTTGGTAGTTTTGATTTATAGACTCATAGTTTCTGTACATTTAAGTTTCAGGATTGCGGAGGATTTAAGAGCTAAATGTTTTCCTTCACTTTTAAACCAGTCGATGTGTAAGACTTTTCCAGTTTATTTGTGATTAAAGATCAGGATTTTTAAAAATATCTGTCACCTACGATTTCTACCTGATAGAATATTTTAGAGCTTGGCATAACCAGAATGTATATTCATTATAGAAATGACCTTGGTGTTTGATTAATTTCAATGAAGTTTTTTCAAGGTTGTTGTAATCCTGGTTATTCAAAGACAAAAAAAACAGTTGTTGAGAGGGTGAATTAAAATGTTAGAAATATATTTTTTAGTTGTTTTAGCACATTTTAATGCTTGTTTTGTTTTATTTTAAATCATTTTAAGTCATCTTGAGGCCTTTGGAAGTTAATTGAAGCCCCCTAGTGGACCTTGGATGCCTGGTTGAGAATATAATACACTATTCTAATTCATTTAGAAGCAGTAGAAGTCTATGATGTGCTCATGTAGATCATGTAGCATGTGCAGTGTGTTCATTATGTTGTCTGTTTGAGAATATGTAATGATGTTTGTGTGTGTTTGGTCAGGGGTTCCCAAACTTTTCCATTCCACGACCCACCTAGACAAGTATAATCTATTTCATGACCCACCAAAATATTTAGGATCAAAAAACAGCTGACATTACTTTAAGCTTAATCTTAATTAAGTTTAATATGGCAGAAATTAAGTATTTAAGAAAAATAACCAATTTATTTTATACAGTAGTACAACTGTAAAATTTCACTACTGCTTTCAGATGATGCATTAATCTCAATTTCGAAAAATTTACCCTTATGACTGGTTTTGTGCTCCAGGGTCATATTTACGTTTTAATTTCTTCATTTACAGACGTTAATGAGTCTATGACACATGTCCATAAAAAGTAAAAACACGCACACTACAGTGCGTATATGAACTGTAATCCGCTGCTAGTGTTGTTAAACTCATCGCGGGGTTCAGTGCAGAAATTAGCAAAGCATAAGAAGCGAAGCAGAACTATCTAAAACAGTTTGGAGATTAAAACAAGTGTGAAGTAATTGTAAAAATAATAAACAGATGTGTCTCATTTTAAATAAACACTAAACACCGAGATGACGAATTTACTTCGGTCAGAAATTTACTTTTGCAATGGTTAAATAAATGTTCAGCAATATCTTCAAAAGATTTTTGAACTTTGGCACATTTTTCTTTATATAGAGATGATATGGCAAGGAAATAATTTTGTAAATTTTGTTATGCTAGCGTGTGGACATGTTAAAATCATGTAGTGTTACAATTAACCCTGCATTTGTGCCCCGCTCACCCCGTACATGTGAAATGCTTTTTACACACTGTTTCCTTATTAGTAGGCAGCCAAATGCATATGAAGGAACGAAAACGGCGCCGAGTTCAAACAGACGATAGAAATGAATGAACATAGGCTACCTGAAACAGTTTTCATAACATTTGAATTTTCCGGCGTAATGCAATCTCATGCAGAATACAGCGCAGTGAAGTGAGCGAGTTTCTTCTCGTTAATAATGCGGACCCAGCCTTTTAATAATGACGTCGCTCTGAGACCCTCACTGTTGTTACAACTCGTGCGCGCCCGCGCTTCAGAACACACAACGCATGTTTAAAAACTAAGAATTTTGCAATTCGTTATTAATGTTGGTAGCCTATATCATGCAGAGTTGAGTGTGTGTGTGTGTGTGAGTGTGTGTGAGTGTGAGTGTGACTGTGTGTGAGTGTGTGTGTGTGTGTGTGTGTGAGTGTGTGTGTGTGTGTGTGAGTGTGTGTGTGTATGTGTGAGTGTGTGTGTGTGTGTGTGAGTGTGTGTGTGTATGTGTGAGTGTGTGTGTGTGTGTGTGAGTGTGTGTGTGTATGTGTGAGTGTGTGTGTGTGTGTGTGAGTGTGTGTGTGTATGTGTGAGTGTGTGTGTGTGTGTGTGAGTGTGTGTGTGTATGTGTGAGTGTGTGTGTGTGTGTGTGAGTGTGTGTGTGTATGTGTGAGTGTGTGTGTGTGTGTGTGAGTGTGTGTGTGTATGTGTGAGTGTGTGTGTGTGTGTGTGAGTGTGTGTGTGTATGTGTGAGTGTGTGTGTGTGTGTGTGAGTGTGTGTGTGTATGTGTGAGTGTGTGTGTGTGTGTGTGAGTGTGTGTGTGTGTCATTGAAACGCGAATTTAGTTGCAGCCAAGTGACTTTGTGCGACCCACAGTTTGAAAACCCCTTCCTTAAGGCGACTTTAAACCTTCACTAACATTATTTGCACCAAAAACGTGGTCATTGTCCAGCATCTCTGATCCTCAGAATGTGAATGACCTGCTCTCTGACCTCTGCACTTGTGACATGAGTAATAGTTCTCATCAAATAAACATCAGCTGATTCAGATTCATCAGGTGGACATTGATGTCAGTGATGTGACGTGATTACATGCACATCAATATTCCGAAATTAAATGGAATTCTGCAATGTTCTGATTAGTGCTGATTCGTGTAAACATGACCGTCTGATTCAGTAGAAATGTGTTGCATGTGAACACATTCAGAAAATCCATATCAGCAGACTTCAGCAGTCAAGTATACAGAAATGATCTGATGCCTGTGTGTGTATAAACATCATAATCAGAGTATGGCTGCAATCCAACTATAGACCTCAAGCTGAATTTGATGTGCATGTAAACATAGTCAGTGTTTGACAGTGTTATTTTAGTATCACTGACAGTTAAATGCAGTGGAATCAATGCATGTAAAACAAACTATATGAGGTGAACCCAGTTAATTATTATTATTTTGAAAGAAGATATGACCAGGTCATATGTACGAGATGTCGAATTGGTCACTCAAGACTCATTCATATTTATTAAAAGGGGAAGTGAAACCATTTTGTGATTTATGTAAAAAAAAAAATGCATGTAAATTTTGAAAAAAATAAAAAATTTATATAAAAAGAATTTTATAAAAAAAATATGTAAAAAGTGTAAAACATAGAATGACCCCAGTTTTAAATGACATGGACAACATTTTTATTCAGAAAACATTTTTAAAAAGTTTTTTTCTGGGAATAGTTTTAGAATTTTTGTCATACGTTAAATTGAAAAATTGTATATAATGAATAATGTTGTCATTTTAGTATGTATATTTTTGTTAATTATTTTTTAAGAATTTTTTTTTAATTATTGCAAACGTTCTATTGAAATGATATTGTTATCATAATACTGTTGATTTTGCCATGAACATAGCCTTTGCTGCTGATATGGCATTAAACAAACAAACAATAAATAAATACTATCATAGTTTTATTGATATTTTGAATTAGTTTTTATTTTTCATTTTGATGTAGTAACTTTATATTTTATTTTATTTTCATGCCAGTTTGATGTATTTTAGAACATTAAGTTAAAGTTAAATGAAAATAAGAAATGTTGCCTTGGCGTTTTTTGTGTATTTTATTTTATTTCAGTTAAAGTTTATTTTATTTATGGTTTTAGTTTTAGTAAATGATAATAATCTTAGCGTGTGTGAGCAAACGAGTGGCTGTTTGATTGATGTTTTACTTTGAAACTCTCATACACAGAATCTACAAAAGCTGCAAAGCCCAGAGCTGCAGTGTGTGAGTACAGATAGTGAGTGTGTGTGAGTGTGTGCGTGTGAGTGTGTGTGTGTGTGTGTGTGTGTGTGTAGGTAGAGGTTTAGTGTTCACTGCTCTCCTTTGCTCTGGTTTAATGGGTTCTCAGGTGGTGGTTTTCCTGTAGTTCTGGGCTCTAGACGGAGTGAGTGAGTGTATGTTTCAGTAGGTTTATCTCTTTCTCTTTCTCTTTCTCTTTCTGTAGAGTAATCGTCCAGAGAGAGAGTGGCCCGTCAAGTGTCTAAAAGTCTATCACGGCATTAAAAAGAAGCTCCGTCCACCAACATGGTGAGAATAAATCTGAATTACGAATTGAATCTGAAAACTCTACTGAACCCTAATGAGCTTTCTAACTAGACAGCATGTCAGATGTGCTCATGACATCAATATCATGTAGGGTGTTTAATATTTTGGAAAGCTCTTTGCAAATAAAATCTTGACATGGTGAATGCAACATGCAGCTGTGCTGTGATTTCTGACCAGCAGGTGTCAGTGTGAGCCAAGACAAAATTATAATATTTTGAAATGGAACAATTTATTGAAAAGGAAGTTTTTTTGAGTATCATATTTGCTCCATCAGGCTTTTATGGCTCATATAGTCTGATACAGTGAGAATATGGAGGAAAAACAGCTCAATTTTATTCAGAGACTCAAACTGAGCAAAAATATGAATTTGCTGCAGATGTTGATATTTATATGATGAAATTCTAATGCTTGTGATGTAAATCAATGAGATGTTTCTAACAGTACAGCAGATACTGACATAAAACGATCTAAATATCAGTCGTCGTTCTATATCTGCAGTAATCTGTCTCAGTAAGATGAGATTGAAATGCTCCAAACATATAATGCAGTGATTGAGAGCTGAAGAAATAAAGGCTCCTCAGAAGATGCGAGATGTTCTGGAGGCTTGTGAAGATCATTACTAAAGGATAAACAGCAGGCTTTAATAGGGTTAAAGGAGCAAATGTGCTTTTAAAAGCTCTTACATGAATCGTCTAGTTTCTTCTATTTGAGCTGTGAAGTGTTTAAATCATATTGTGATGAGCTGCTTGATAAGAGACGTCAGTGTAGAGAATGATCAGGTCAGATTCATTTACAGCATCTCAGAGCCAATCAGACCAAAAAATCCCGTTTCAATAATCTCTGGCTCTTTATATCATCGACTTACAGCTGCATTTGAGTTTCATAATTAAAGATTGAGTGCTGTTTAACCCTTTAATCTCTGTCTGTCTGTAGTTGGGGTCTCACAGTCATCTATGAAAGTGAGAAACAGGAAAAGCAGGAGAGACAGCAGTGGTGAGAACACACACACACACACATATACACACAATTTACACACACACACACACACACACACATTTACTCACACAGTAGTCAGTAGTCAGGTTTAAGTCCCCACCAGGATATATAAACCCGTACACACACACACACACACACACACACACACTTACTCACACACACACACACACTCTCTCAGATGTGTCAGTATCCATTATATTCTCTGTAAATAATGTTAATGTGCTGCGACTTTAACCTCTAAAGGAACATAAACATTGTCTCTGTGTGTTTTGATGTGTTTCTCTCTCAGGTATCTCTGCTGTGACACACAGAATGAAATGAGGGAATGGTTCGCTACCTTCATGAGCATACAGGTCAGTCTGAGAGGATCATGTCAACAAGCCTGATAAAGCATATTTGATACATGAAGCCCTCTAAATGATCAAACTCTTCTGTTAAACCTGTTCCTCCATGTCTTCTGTCTCTGATAGTTTCGAGTTTTTTTATCCAGTCGAAGCTCTTTTAGTGTAATTGTACAAACGTCCAGCTTCAGCTGGAGCTTCTCGTGTCAGATCTTGACTGATTTTGATCAAGTAAAGGTCAGAATAACTGCAGTAATATCTCCAGATGAACACTTACTGGACTGAAGCAGCTCAGCTTTACTTGATTCTCCATCAATCATGTTTTAGAGTCTCAAATCTGATCCTCAGGATCTTTTGAGGAGCGTTTGTTTCCAGAAGCTTTACTTTCACTGTTCCTCAGCGGAGGAATGATCTTCACAAGCCTCCAGAACATCTCACATCTTCTGAAGAGCCTTTATTTCTTCAGCTCTCAATCACTGCATTATATGTTTGGAGCATTTCAATCTCATCTTACTGAGACAGATTACTGGAGATATAGAGACGACTGATATTTCTATCATTTTATGTCAGTATCTGCTCTATTGTTAGAAACATCTCATTGATTTACATCACAAGCAGCAGAATTTCTTCATCAGAAATATCAGCATATGCAGCAAATTCATTTTTGCTCAGTTTGAGTCTCTGAATAAAATTGAGCTGTTTTTCCTCCATATTCTCACTGTATCAGACTATATGAGCCATAAAAGCCTGATGGAGCAAATATGCTGCATGTGTTGCATGTATTTACATCTCTCTCTCTCTCTCTCTGTCAGAACGGAGGTCGTGTTTGGCCAGCGGAGTGGTTAAAATCTCGTGCAGCGAGTCGCTCTGCGCCGCTGGACGCTCGCTTCGGTAACGTGTCTCTGATTCCTCTGCGCGGCAGTGAGAACGAGATGAGGAATAGTGTCGCCGCTTTCACCGCCGATCCTCTCGCCGTGAGTCTAATCAGCCAATCACAACCGGGCTCGGCCAATCACACAGCCAATCACGCGGCTCTCTGCTCCCAAACACACTGAGCTCAGCCTCGAGTTTAATGCATCAGAGAGATGCTCTGACATGAAGGACTGTTCGTTTTAATACTAAGCTTTTGGCAGAATTCTAAGGCAGAATTACATACATCATTATATAATGTTCTTTTATCCTTTGGGATTTAATAATTCCAGCATCAAAGAGTTAAAAACAGTGTGTTCGTATCATATATATATATGAGCCTGCAGCACAAAAGCAGTCATAAGTAGCACAGGTATATTTGCAGCAATAGCCAACAATACATTGTATGGTTCAAAATGATCAATTTTTCTTTTATGCCAAAAATCATTAGGATATTAAGTAAAGATCATGTTCCATGAAGATATTTTGTAAATTTCCTACCGTAAATATATCAAAACTTAATTTTAGATTAGTAATATGCATTGCTAAGAACTTCATTTGGACAACTTTAAAGATGATTTTCTCAATATTTAGATTTTTTTGCACCCTCAGATTCCAGATTTTCAAATAGTTGTATCTCAGCCAAATATTATCCTATCCTAACAAACCACACATCAATGGAAAGATGGTTTATTCAGCTTTCAGATGATGTATTAATCTCAATTTTGAAAAATTGACCCTTGTGACTGGTTTAGTGGTCCAGGGTCACATATAACAAAGTGTGTATGTACACACACATAGAAAATATTCCTGCTCAGTCTCAGTGCTTTAGTAAAAAAAAAAACAACAACTTTAAGAGCCGGTCAGTGTTTCATGTGTACAGTTATACCCAAGTCAGTAAATAAATACTTCTATTTTTATAATATTCATAAAATATATTTTTATGTTTTTATTTGTCTCCTTTCTTTCCATACAACTTTAGAAATTAATCATTGAGTAACAGCAGTTTGCTGCAGTTTCCCGCTGTTACTCAATGTTTCATGTCTAATAAATATATAATATTCATATAAAATGTTCTGTATGATTTTATCCTTGAAACATTGAGTAACAGCAGTAAAAGCGGGTCAGTGTTTCATGTATGAAGTTATACGCAAATAAACAAAAATGTATATTTATAAAATATTTTTTTATTTCATTTTTGTGTTTTTATTTATATTTATTTTTCTGTATAACTATGAAACTTTGAGTAACAGCAGTAAACACAGTAAACTTTGTTGTTTCATGTCTAAAGTTATAAATAAATACATAGATAAATAAATATTTACAATTATATAATTATCAAAAAAAATATATATAATTTTTTATTTATTTTTTCTTTTTCTGTATGACTGTAATCATGGAACATTGAGTAACAGCAATAAACACAGTAAACTTTCTTGTTTCATGTCTAAATAAATAAATATATACATAAATATTTATATTTATATAATATAAAAAATATATATTTTTTCATGTTTAATTTATTTTTCCTTTTTTTTGTTTTACCTGTATGACTTTAACCATGGAACACTGAGTAACGGCAATAAACACAGTAAAATTCCAAAAGAACTTATTACATTTAATGTAACCCAGCACGCATTGCATTCAGCTCAGTGAGTCAAAAATGATGGCAGACAATGATTATAAATGTGCTTAAATTTCATTTGACACCAAACAGTATTGTTAAAATAGTGCAAATGAATTCAGATGAACCATGTAGATCATTTCAGATTAGTCATTTGAGGTTCTGTTCCTCAGTAGGGTGCTGCCTATGTAGACAGCGAGAGGCTCACTAGGTTTCGGAACAGAGCTGAAAACAGACATTTATATAAAACATAATTCATCTGCATACGAGAGTATTGATGATGCTGTGTGATTACCCATGAGTCCTCACTGTTCTGATTTACTGAGACGCTTCATGTTCGGCTCACAGTGTGTGATGAGTCACGTGAATCATGAGTGAATCATGAGTGAATTCACATGATTCACTCCTCCTGATTCACGTTATTCACTCCTGATTCACTCCTGATTCACGTTATTCACTCCTGATTCACTCCTGATTCACATGATACACTCCTGACTCACGTAAATCAGGAGTGAATCATGTGAATCAGGAGTGAATCACGTGAATCAGGAGTGAATCATGTGAGCCGCACATGAACCGTCCTGTACTAATGCTTTGTTACTGGAGGAAGTGGAGGTGTTGGTGTGTGTTTCACTCGATCTGTCTTCACACATACAGCGGACATCCGATTAACAATGCAGTTCATAAGAAATAAATCATGTGTGAACAAATGAAAAATAACTGGTGTTGTGTCTGAGAGGAGCAGGTGTTGGGTTATTGCTCATATCATTAACTTAATGGGCGATTTCCTCTAACCTTTTTACCCATAATTCTGCAGGACTGTCCTCTGTATACATTATATGAGTGACGGTGTGTGTATTTATGACAACATGAATTCAACAGGAAAGTGAAGAATCTAATTCTAATGTCTTCTGTTACATCATTCAGAAAAAGAAGATTAAACATTGTTAGATTTACTACTTTTATATATGTATATAAAGAAAATTGTATGTGTACATGTACTGTATATAAAATATTTTTAAAATGTTTTTACTAGGGATGCACCGATAGGATTTTTTTGGCCGATACGGATACCGATTTTAGCAAACAACTATTGGCCGATACCGATACCGATATTGGTCAATTGCATAAAGCAGGTCTTAAAAATGAAAAATAAAAAATTTGATCGGTTCACTCCGAGCAGAATCAGTATTTGAACGTTTCTGTTCCTGCGTTCCTCTGTATTAGGCTCCGAAACCGGTTTGAGTAGAAAAATACCAGTTATTAACATTATTTTAAAACTTTTTCTTTGCCAATAATAATAATAATTATAAAGTACAGAGTATTCTTTAATCAAAACAAAAAAAACCTGAGGGTCTTGATCTGGTAGCCTATCTTGCGCTTAGTCATAGCCAATACAGCATCATCCTTTCTAGATTTTGACCAACTATATTAAACAAAAGAAAAAACTGTCAACGCTTTAAAGACATTAAAGTAATTTTTCAAGATATTTAAAAATGTTTGCAGCATGGATAAAAAAATGCTACTCCTTTAAGCGTTTTGAGAGGAAAAAACAGCCTAAATTAGTAGGCTGTTCGACTCATTTTATTATTACATTCAGAAATAATGTAGGCTAAAATATTGTAAATAAACCAAAATATTTACAAACATTACAAACACAATTAGGCTATTGTAGTTCCCTTCTCTCCACAACAAATCCTCTAAAGTTGTAAGCCAAAACGAATTAATTTAAAAACAAAACTGAAGCCTACCTCTCTAATTCTGTACGAATCCAAATGTTTCCATATTCACAACGTATCTGGATGCTAAAATATTATTATGCCTATTCCTATGTAAACTTTAGGCTTTGTTCTTCACTCGCATTTTCGACGTAAAACATCATCCTTCACATAACAGCACAGTGAGGCGCTGGTCACGCTGAACGGCACAGACTGTACTACGAACAATTTAAATTGAGCAGTGTAGCTTTTTATGTTTCTTTAACTGTATTTTATTTTGATAATGAACAGGCTGCGATGTCAAGTTAGCAAAAATATGTTGTATGTGCGTGTGAGTCACCAAGGTGATTCAAAACTGTAACGCTTTTGTAAAATAAAGAAAACGTCTTTCTGCCGTCTCGGTTTCCTTTCCGTGAACTTCAGAGCGCGTTACAATGATCCAAACTCGGCACAATTTTTTTCTTTCGTTTTGTTAATCTGTTAATGATTTAAGTGAAATGTATTTTGTGTATAGGCCTATATATTCCCTATATAGTTTTATTATGTTTTCTCCATTCGCGCTGCAGGTGCGTGATGTGAGCTTGTGTGAATCCGTGTTCTACACTGGTTTCAAATAAAAAGCTGCATATTACCTGCCATTCATTTTCTCTTAAACGTAGGCCTAATGCTTGGCGGTTCGTGACATATCCTCGGATAAACTCTAACGCATTGCCATTGCGACTTACCTATGATGAATTTACAGCTGAGCGCGGGCGTTTCCCTCATTGGATGTGTCAGCGTCACGTTTGCATTGGCCATACTATGCCGTCTGACAAACGATATTTTGTACAGATTTTAGGGCTGTGCAATTAATCGAAATTCATTTTTGATTTCGATTTCCAACGATTATGAAAATACAGTAATCGAGATAAAACAATTATTGCGCCCCCTTTCCAGCAGTGCTCTTTCGTTCCTCCATAATCAGTAAAATCATGTAACGAGACTTTTGCAAAACGGGACGTGCTTGATTTATTTAAATTGATTAGATTGATTTATGTTTTTAAAAGCGTGAAAGAACTTGCGCTTCCTCGGGAAGATTACTGTGGATGCGCTCAGAGACGGAACACAACACGGACATGTAAAGTCATCACAAAAAATAGGACTATTGTGGTATTGAGAATTGTTACATAATTATTTTTTCTTATTAAAGCTACAAAAGTCCTTCAGTCAAGAGCAGTGAGTGATTTTGAATGTGTCATTTGTTGTTTGATTAATATTAAGCACAGTCGGCAGCAGGAATATAGCCCGCTGTCACTTTAAGAGCACTTTACTGTTACACAATTATTTTTTGTAGGACTTTTGTAGCTTTAATAAGAAACAAAGGAAGTTTAATTCTTACAGTGAAGACTATGCTGTTTTATTTTACATTAGGTTATTCCATTTCTTTAGTAGGCCGTTAACTGAATACTTTAGACTTGCATTAAAAAAACTTAAAGCACAGTTTGTTTCATTTGTATATTTTTTATTCTATTGTATTCCTTTGCTTTTTTATTACAGTTTAATTATTTTCAATAATTTTGAGGACCTTTTTTGTTGTTGTTGTTGTTTTAACTAATATTAGTTACTCTGGTGTTCTGCTGTGGTATTGAGAATTGTGACATTTCGCTGGTCTCTAAAATGTAGATGTCATAGCAACCTTATTTACAGAACATATATATTTGATATATATCACTATCTTTAAATAAATCTTTCATATAAGTTTTGGTCATATGGCCCACTAATAATCGTTTTAAATAATTGTGATTACAATATTGACCAAAATAATCGTGATTATGATTTTTGTCATAATCGAGCAGCCCTAACAGATTTTATTTTGTTTTGGCAAGTAGTTAATTATTTTGCCCAGAGAAAAATGTTGGATTATGCAACAGGCATGCAACTCATTGTCTCCATGCAGTTAATTAATAAACCATCGGTATCGGCCCTTTTCATGCTATTTCTGATATGCCGATGGCTTTAAAATAATCAAAAATCGGCCGATAAATATCGGTGGCCGATATATCGGTGCATCCCCTTTTTTTTTTGTTTATTATTTAACATTTTATTTCCATTTTTTATCTCTGATGGACTGATGATCTCTGAGCTCATGACAGTGAATTTTCAATCCTATAATTCTATTGAAGTCAGTTTTCTGTTCTGTTTTCTGAGAGAATCTGGCAGGTTTCGATTAAATGAATGCTTTATTTTCTGCAGCTCTTCAGAAATGTTTGACGGAGTGAATGTTGTTCAGGTGAGACGTCCAGCTTCTGTGGTTCAGACCAACACAACAACAAAATCATCACAAATATGTGAGCCTGCAGCACAAAAGCAGTGTTAAGTCGCTGGGGTATATTTGTAGCAATAGCCAACAATACATTGTATGGGTCAAAATGATCCATTTTGCTTTTATGCAAAAAATCATTAGGATATTAAGTAAAGATTATGTTCCATGAAGATATTTTGTAAATTTCCTACCGTAAATATATCAAAACTTAATGTTTGATTAGTAATATGCATTGCTAAGAACTTCATTTGGACAACTTTAAAGATGATTTTCTCAATATTTAGATTTTTTTGCACCCTCAGATTCCAGATTTTCAAATAGTTGTATCTCAGCCAAATATTGTCCGATCCTAACAAACCATACATCAATGGAAAGCTTATTTATTCAGCATTTTCTAAAAATTGATCCTTACGACTGGTTTTGTGCTCCAGGGTCACATATATCATCAATATTTTTGATAAATCACCATATTTGTTTAAAGTCATTTAAATATTTTATATTCCTGCATCATTGATAGGTTTTATTTTTTTATAAATATTACCCTATTTAGTTTTTTCTATAATAGAAAATTAAGAATTTAAATGTATTGTGTAAGACATCAAAGTCAAAATACGACTGAATGAATTCAAAGTGCACTTTTCATTATGCAAAATGCAGGTCATAAGCTTTTTGGGTTTCTTCTCACAATATTCTTAGCACTGTATTACATAGCCTCAAGGACTTCTGCAAAAATAAAATATATACAGACTTTTATGTGCGCACAAGAAACCATTAAACTTAGCATTTAGGACAACGCACGCTGAGCCACCTATTGCACCATCAGCCCATTTCACAATGTGTTTGTCCTCCTCAAAGTATGCGTTAAAGAGACCTAAGGCCATGAAATATGGCATACTGCCCTAACGAAAGCCACGTTTTAAACACTTTTTTTACAGTACCAGTCTTTTTCATAGACTCTTGAACTTGGCAAATTTTATGCCATCAGCACATTTTGTGTCATGGTTTCTCCGCCACCACAGAGATGTTCAATTAGACATTAGGCCTTTATATTAGAGGTACTACCATAAGAAAAGACACATTTTGAGCAAGTAGATCTCTGTTAATTCATGTGCATCCATGCTATCGTTTGATTCATAGTAAGATGGCAGTGATGCACAAAGGAAATAGGTTATATAAAACTAGAAACTAATGTGTATGCATGCAAAAAATTCCCATGCAAACAAAAAAGATTCTTGTGTGCATGTAAAAGACTGTTGTTTTTTTAAACCCTGAAAAAATAAAAAATATTTACAGATGACTGTACTATATACCAAATATAATGCTGAAAATAATGCTCTATGAACCAATTAGGTTTGGAAATTTGAGTCTGGAAAGTATGGAATTTTAAAATGGAAAATGTGTAGGAACCCTGTAAATGTATATATATATTACTTAAAATAATCTATTTTTAATTACATATTTTCATTTTATTAATATTATATGTATATATATATATATATATATATATAAATTCTGATT